ACTTCTTATGGTAGTACGGGAGATTCCATAGAAGTTTACTATTTTTTCACAGAGCAAGTGTGAAGTCATAACGAATGCAATGCCCACCATCTTCTTTGAAGTTCTTTCTGATCCACTCCGGATGTGTTGCTTATTGTTATGGACTGCAACGATGGAGGTGGTGGGTGGACTTTCCACGCACTTAATCCAACTAACCTACCTTTTCTTTGAATGTTTGTTCATTTGCCTGCCTGTCTGTTGGTTTCTCTCTGGCTACAACCTTGTGCGGCTCATTGATCAATCATCATCATCATCATCATCATCATCATACTAGAAGAGTATCGGATCGGTCAATCATCGTTCACAATCAAAATGGAGCATAAGTGACGTGCATGCATGGATCATCATTATCTTTGTCATTGTGAATGGTGCAGACATGGCAATCATTGGAAGCAGTATGCTGGATTACATGCAGTATTTTGTGTCTGGTTTGGCCACGCCGGATGCAAAGATCTTTCGTCTGCTTCGTATTTTTCGAACAGCCAGGGCCATCCGTGCCTTCCGTGTGCTTCGTACAATAACTTTCCTCAGGTCCCTGCAAATCATCATTCAAACTCTGCTCCGGTCAATTCCTGCTCTCAGCAGCATCGTTGCACTGCTTAGTCTTGTAATTTGTATCCCCCCCCCAGCAGCAACAGCTGCTGTTTCATAAATGTTTTTTCTTTTTCTTTTCTTTTTCTTTTTTCCTTACAAAGGGGCAACAGTCTTGTGAAATGGACCAAGTTCCACCTCGCATACATCAATGAGCATTCACATGAGAGTTCACACGTGAGAAGCCAACCCGAGATACAATCAACAAATGAAGATGTCGTCTCCAATATTATTATCAATATACAAGAATGTTTGTCTCCAGCGGCTCTGCCGCACACACACACACACAATGGGTCTCGACCCGATAGTGGCTATTGTGAGGACCCGACCAAACACGGACTGAGACACACAGCTGATTTCTGAGTTTCATGGACTGAATGCCTTGCTGAGTTTCCCGCTTGCTACTAAGTTCTCTAAGTCTGTGCGTGTGCACGCTTGCTGGTCTGCATGTCTGTCTGAGTGCTTGTTGGATTGAGTGTGTGTGTGACCTGCAAGGGCACTTGTTCGTTCGTTGGGCCCTCAGGGCCGGTACTTACCTGTGGCCGTGACATTGAGGATTGCAGCAGGGAAAACACTCAAGTGGCAGGGGAAGAGGCCCGCAACACTTGAAGCAGCGGGGAAACACTCAAGTAGCAGGTAGGCCGGTACCACACCCTGAAGAGGTAGATGTGCCGGGTACTCAAAAAAGTTGGCATTTTTAGAGGCCCAGTAGTTGTAGGCTAGGTCTAGGCGGGTACCAGTCCAACCAGTCTGAGTGTAGGGCCTGTACGGGCAATATCAGAGTCTGCAATGATGTTTCCCTCCGAAAGGGAGGAGGTACCGGTTGCTGGGAAGGCCGAGCGGCCTGGAAGTCACCGCCCAAGAGGCAAGCAGGCCGCTATATCTCCAGGCCGGGCGAAGAGCCCAGCCTCATGGTCGGTGTGCAAGTTTGGCGACACACTGGTTGAAGCGCTGGCCGGAGCAGCGCTGCTGCGGAAGGAGCAAGGACACGGAGGAGGAAGAACAGCAGGAGGAAGGGGGAGCGCCAGAGGTATTTACCTGGCTATGGTGGCAGCCATCTTCATCACCTTGGTGGGCGCTGCAGCAGGAAGGTCCCCGTTGGGGCAGAGCTACACCAAGAAGCTTCGAGGCAGAGTCAGGCATGGCGGCCTGAGCTAGAGCAGCCATAGCTGCTTTGGGTTGTCCTTTGGACATCAGGGCAAGGCCCTAGTAGTCCGTCCATAGCCTCGGGCTATGAGAGTGAAGAGTAAGAGAGGTGGCCGTGTGAAATCAGACTGCACTCCAAACTTGCTTGTAACATGCACAGACGTGGACTGATGGCAAAACCAAATTCTTTCAATCTCAGAATCACCAATGAACTTGTACTTAAACTCAGCCCAAGTCGACTGTACAACTTGCGGCTATGGCCGCCGAACACTGTGCCCACCACCAGCCTCTCTCTCCCTTTTGCACGCATGTATGTGACGAACCAGCTTCTGAGCCTGCGCCATCTTCCGGACCCCTTCTCTCTCTTTTTCTTTTCGAATTTTGCTCGGCCCAACAAGGCCCCTGTCTATTTATTAAAGATGCCTTCTTGAAAGCCGTGTTGATTCTTGAAATTCTGTTTTCATAATTTGGGAAATGCATGGGAATTGCGCGCGCTTTAGTAGGCGCGCTAGGAATTTGGCCCGGCAGTTAGAAATTCCGAAATATACAGAACCCGACGTGTCCTTTTTGTGCATGAATGTTCTCAACTACGTCGCGGAAAACTCTGGGAATTTGGTGGGAATACGAATGGATGTAGGACTGCCTTTCCCGCGCCTACTTTACGCGCGGGTATGGTGATTTCAATTTTTGAATTAGCATAGGACTTAGGAATCTGTAACTGTTTTGGTGCCTCTTTTTGCATTTGTGATCGGCGCCTTGCAAGCTAGCTTCCCCCTTTCTGCTCCCCTCGCCATCTTCGACGCTCCGTTCGAGCCCGCGCTCACTCTCCTGCCGTAACCGTTTTTCTCTCTCTCTCTCTCTCCTTCTCTCTCCGCGCGCCTTTTCTCTTTCTTGATCGTCTGAATCTTGGATCTGTTTCGCGCTATCCCACACACCCTTCTTCCTTCCACTCTGAGTCCTACGACCAAGAGCCTGATCGATCCTCTCTTCACTACCGTCCAGCCAAGGAGAAGCGCCATGTAAGGAGAAACTCCTATTACGCGACGACTCTGATTGGTTGTGATCGGACTCAGCAGGATCGACATGGCTTTCGCCGGACGATTATTCCCACGTCCTCTCTCACCCTTCCCTGACTCAACCTTCATCCTCCTTCGTACCTACCTCCCTTCCCGCAACTGTAATTCCGCAAGCGCGCCCGCAAATCTCTCTCTCAACTCGTCTGCCAGCTTCCGGGAAGCAGTGGCTAGATGGTATGTGTGGAGTGCAAGTCGAAAAGTCCCGAAGTGTTGACTGTAGCCTGGCCGGTGGTGCGCCTGATCGCCACGACGGACTGTGGGATCCGGGCAGGCCGTGTCGAGACTAAGTCGGCGGGGTGACGATCACAGTGGTGGAAAGTGGCACGTGACGGTCGGGATCGTCAGTGCATGTATGGGGATAGTGATCAGAGTTGAATGGATGAATGGCCTGGGGCCATAGTGGAACTTCACAGCGGATGCGCCTCCTTGTCTCGAATCTATTCTTTGGTGTGAGTGCAGCTCCACGAGAGTTAAGCCGGAAATTCTTTTTCACCTTCGGATTTTTGCGTGATGATTCATCTGTCTTGTTGTTCTCATCCATTTCGCACTTCTTCCCCCTCCCCCCCCCCTCTCCCCCCGCCTACTTTATGGCATGAATGACTATGTATGCTTGTCATGAAATGGTTGTCTGATGGGCTTGCATTTGATTAGCCATGAGATGATGGGGCAGGGGTGTAGAGCACACAAAGAACTGAATGATGCATGGCTGCCATTTTCGCACCTTCCGTGATAAGTGACCGCAAGTGTAGATGGAAATACTCGGATGATAAAACTGTCGTTTGATGGACTGGTCTTTGATTAGGCCGAAGAGTTGTTACGAATGGAATATATGAACATGGTCGAGCCGTTGGCAAGGACAATGTTGTTGGGATTTTGTTCGAAGATTGTTTAAATCTGTCGGTGATGTGATTGCGGGAGAGTACCTCGGGATCTTTAACACGGAATACATGGCGCATGCCATCTGCCTTATGCTGCACGGCGTCTGCAGCTTGCCCTCGATACGCAAAACCCGAGAGGTGGTCTATCTTCTCAGGAAGAAAAAGGGCGCCACGTGCGACCTGCATGCGCGGATCAATTGCCGTGTCTCACCGGACGTGAGTTATGTCCCCACGGTTTCCTGACGAGACCGCTAGATCATCGCAAATATTCTCTCTCTCTCTGATATATTTTTGAGAAAATGAAGGAGTGTTCTCACCTTGCTTCGTATGACTAAGGTGAATAAAAAATATCACCGGAAAAACCCGATCGACGGGCTGTGTACTTTCGATCTAATGATAAATGATTGAGACCAACTTTTGTGGCTAATTGGATTGCCATGTGGACTGACGGCCTCAACCCGACTGTGCGTCGGCCTCCCGTATCCCCGCCACGTCCCTTCCCATACAACGAGAAGAGGGCACATGTATGCGAGTGGGACGTACGAGAAGCCGTCGCCAAGATCGGCGGTCGATACTATTTCCCTCCCGAAACTCGGTGCTCGGGGTTTGTTGGCGCTGGTTTTGTCATTGTTGATACGCATTTTCCGCCTTATTCGCTGCTATTGCCATTTAATGAGTTGATCGTCATTCCGTGGACGGCGGTGGCGCCCCATTGGCCTAACACTCTGTGCAGCGATTGTTGTCGCTTCGAGCGTTACCAATCAAAAGGCTTTCACTACCGAGTACGGAGTGAGGACGAACATAAGGAAAGAGCCACGCGGCTGAGACCTTCCACGTCGGATTCTGTGTTATGCAATGAGCGGCGTCGGGATTTGATCCGAAAACGGGACACCAAATACGTACCCGTCCCCTTTCAAACGAAGTGAAGAGCAACGGCCCGATGGGAAGTTCAATGATACTTTTTGGATTGAACTTCCCCGCGCCGTACGTCCCATGCGCGCCTTTTTCTCCCTCAAAACCTGCGCAGTGACGGACCTCCCCTCCCCCCCCCCCTCTTCTTACGAAGTTGGACCGGCACAGGGGTTTCGGTTCTGTCCGTGTCCCCACACTCAATTTTCCAAAAATCCTTGGCACACCCCATCTCACTGTCTTTCTGGGGCCCCTTCCGCAATTTGAACACTCCGAACGGAAGACAGCGTAGGGCGTGAGGTTGAGCGTCACATGTACGAGGATCTACCCTGAATGTCCACTCTATACACACACACTGTACACTATGTCGACTCCAGCAGCTTCCTTCCAGCTATGGCTGCCATCGTCTTCCTCACTGCCCACTTCAGCTCCGGGCACCTGCAGACCTCCACGCACAAGTCACCAAGGCAGCACTTATGCATGGCTCACAGGCGAATGAATGAATGACTGGCCGCTGCCTCTTTATTTTTAGTAGCCCGCAGGTGGCCTGGCCCTGCCCTAAACCGCGTGGGTCTGGGCCTCTCACTGCGTGGGCCCCGGGTCTGGAAACTTCCAAACCGCGTAGGCCTGGCAGACCCAAAACGTGTAGGCCTTCTGGGCCAAAACGCGTGGGCTGCTGGGCCCCAAAACACGTGTTCCGGACCCTTCTCTAAACCTCATGGGCCCTTCCCTTCCAACCACGTGCAGCTCCTACCCTGGTACTTGCTGACTGGACTGACCTACAGGGACCCACCGTTTTCTAGAACCTACAGACCTACGGACTGACTCTTAGGGCCCAGTAGACTCAGGTAGAGACTACTAGAACGAACTTTCTTGGGACTAATGGTAACAAACTTAACTACTAACCTACAGACCTGGGGATCGAGTCCACCTACACGACCTACAACCTATCCTATGACACAGAATAGGTCACAGTTTCGAATCTCACACAGGCACCGGGTCAATGTACAGGGTTCAGGCATAGGTCTAGGGATCGAATCTCAGTGTCTACAAATCTCGGGTCAACTGGGTGAAACCGTTTCACTCTTGCCGTCCTAAATTTGAGGTCCTCCGAGAACACTCTAACTCAAGATAGGACCTTTTCACTTTCTTGCTCTCTCATAAGCGTGTACTATGTCGGGAGCGGTTTCTAAAAGCTATGTTTTAGTAAACCACTTGTCGTCATCTGGTTCCTGATATCCAAACCTGACTTTATATTGCTGCTGGGGACGACCTCGACCTCCTGTTCTAAACACGTCCTCTTCCACTATGCGGTCTATGTCATATGCACCATCCATGCTTGGCGGAATCATTGACCTTCACGAAGGAAACTTGTCAGTGGTGGTGCAAGGCATTAGCTTTGAGGCATGGAAGACTGGGTACGTGTGGAGATGTGTTGGGATCTCTATGGTGTATGATGGTCTGTCCTCTCCTCCTTTGACTTTTAGGACGGGCCATGGTCCTTTGTACGCAGGTAAGAGCTTCTGCAAGATGTTCTCCTCGGGTGCAAACTCCTTAGACTTGACCTGGACTAAGCCGCCTACCTGGAACTGTGAAGGTCGATGATGTTTGTTAGCTTGCTCAATCATACGATGATGAGCCTTCCTGAGGTTCTCAATCACCTTAGTGACTTCTCTTTCGTGCTGCAACGCAAACTCTCGAGTGTCGGGCGGTAATCTCTGTATCTCATCCCGGTTCAGTCCTTCAAACGGTCTCCTTGGCCTAAAGGACTTGTGCAACTTATTGGGAGTCCTATAGGTAGCTAGATGAACACTGTTGTTTTAGGCGCTTGCTACCTTGGGAAGCATCTCATCCCAGTTCACCTGATCTGGTCTAATATACATTCTGAGTAGTTGTTGCAAGGTCTTACTCATTTGTTCTGTTTGACCGTTTGTCTCTGGATGATAGCCTGGCGATATTAAAAGCTTAGATTTGTATACTCTCATGAGATCCTGCCAGTTCTGGCTGGTAAACCGCATGTCTCTGTCACTAACTATGGACAACGGTAGACTGTGCTCGCTTACCCAGAAATTGAAGAACTTTCCTGTCACTAAATCAGTACGTGCCTTTGAAGGCAAAGGAACAAAAACTGCATATTTGCTAAATTGGTCTACTATGACCATGACTTGACTTTTACGATGCCTACTTCTGACCCCAATATCCATAAAGTTGATGGAAACTAAATCTCCGGGTCCTGATGGAATAGGCAGGGGTTTGAGAAGGCCAAGAGGTGCTCTGGTCGTTGACTTATTACATTGGCAAACTTTACAACTGCATATATACTATATGCAATTTGCCTTCATGCCTGGCCACGTGTATGACATCATCAGGTTAGCTAGAGTCTTTTGCCCGCCGAAGTGCCCTTCTGTATCGTGGCATTACCCTAGGATCCGACTACGGATCTCTTCGCTATTGGGGATGCAAAGCCTATCAACAACATTGGTCTTCTCAAACAGTAGCACGTTCGTGGTTCAATAGTGTGGCTCGCTTTTTGGGGCTTCCCTTACTCTTTTCAACAACGCACTATACATCGGATCCTGTGCATATGCATCTCTCACTTTCTGCTGCAGATCTGCCCCTATGTCTAGATAGTGCACTATCTTGCCGAAGTAATATACTTTCCTTTAACGGGCTTCAACTCGAAGTCAAACTGGTCTACCTCAGCAGCCCATCGGGTCAACTTGGGCGTCATCTTGGCCTCCGTCTTTAGCCACCTAAGCATCTCGTGGTCTGAATACACTTTAAAGTGTCTCCCAAGCAAGTAGTGCCTCTAGTGGTCTAGGGCCTGCTTGAGAGCGTAGAGTTCTCTCTCGTATGTCGATGCCGCAACCTTTTATGAGGGCAGCCTATCTAACATGAACTCTACAGGCCTGTAACCATTGTCGTCATCTTGTTGTAACATGGCACCAATGCCATACTGATTGAAGTCTGTGGTGACGACAAAGGGCAATGATGGATCGACGACTTTGAGGACAGGATAGTCTATCAAGGCCTTCTTCAATTTCTTGAGGGCCGATGTACAATCTTAGTCTCACTGCCAAATAACTTCTTTCTTTAGTAATCTACGCAGGGGAGCGACTATCGTGGAGAAGTTCCTGACGAACTTTCTATAGTAGTTAGCCAAATGATCGCAGCTCTGTCGAAGTGTGAGGAGTTGGCCAGTCTTAAATGGATGCAATCTTGCTGTCCTCGGGCCGGATACCGTCTCCGTCCAATACATAACCTAGGTGAAGGACTTCAGTCTTACCTCATTCGCACTTCTTTGCGTTCATCTTGAAGTCAACTTCCCTTAGCTTCTCCAAGATCTGCTTTAGATGGCCCTCATGTTCCTCGAGGGTGTTGCTGAAGACTAAAATGTCATCTAGGTAGACTACTACAAATTTGTCTAACCACGGCCTAAACAAGTTGTTCATAAGCGTTGGAAAGTGCCCGGTGCGTTAGTAAGTCCAAAGGGAATCACTACTAACTCGTAATGCCCGTACCTAGTCTTGAACGCCGTCTTGTGCTGGTCATCAGGGTGCACTTCTATTTCATGATAACCTGGCTTCAAATCTATCTTCGTGAAGTATTTGCAACCCTGCACCCAGTCTAAGAGATCATCTATCCTGGGAAGCAGTTCTGCATTCTTTATGGTTATGGCGTTCAGACCCCTGTAGTCTATGCACATGTGTAACTCTCCCTCTTTCTTCGGGACAAACATAACAGGTGTGCCAAAAGGAGATGAATTGGGCCTAATCCATCCTTTTCTAAGAGCTCGTCCAACTACTTACGAAGCTCTTCCAATTCTTTGGGAGACATCCTGTAGACTGCCCCTTTGGGCATCCTACTGCCAAGCTCTATTTCGATACGATGTTGGATAGGTCGTGGCACTACTCCTGAAGGTGCCTCTGATAAATCTTTATACTCTTCCAGTAAACTGGCAATAGCGGGATGAACCCTCTCTTCTTCCTTTGGCTTATCGAAAATCGGCCTAATAGGCTACGAATACCTGCTCTTCGAGCTGCTCCTTTCGCACAAATCTGTCGAACACAGGAGCGTTGAGGCAACAATGTGCGAGGGGATTATCTACCCCGGACTCATCATACAGGCGGGCTTGCTTAACTTCGCCTGACGGACTAGGGAGCCTGCACTCGTGCTCTCTAAGGTGCAAAGTGGCTCCTGCTGCCTCTCCCCAATCTGTACCCAGAACTATATCTAACGTGAGATTCTATTCTACCAGAAGAGCCAAGGAATGAAGGATTTTTTCCACCTTCCTTTCTTTCTCTAGGCGGAAGTATGCCTGGACTCCTTCGACGTACTCCTCGACTCGCATCCTATTGTTCTGCAAGGATGCTGACTACAGGCTCTTGCAATCGTTGGACCTTTAAGTTGAGCTTTAACTTTTTCAACGCTTTGCGACTAACATAGCTCCTGGTGGCCCCACTATCTATACGGGCTCCTACTCTAGCTCTAAAGATCTCTACATTTGCGAGGATTAACTATCCTTTCCCATTCTTCTTCATCTTGGCTCAGGCTTGCCTCCTCTCTTTCAACTCTTCAGCTAAGCCTGTGAGGGAAGCATCTAGAGAGACTCCGACACAAGCAGTTTCTGGACAGCTTACTAGACGGTGGCCATCAACCTCTGCCATGGAGATATGTGGAGTGGGAGACTCTACTTTGCGCGCACGCTCAGATTCATATACTCCTAGGGTAGGGGTTGCAACCCCTACCGGCGTTTGTCTTTTGTTGCCCCAACAACAACAACAGAGTAGGTTCTCCCCTGTTCTACCCTACTGTCCTCTTCTTCAACTCCGCACTCAATATCCGAGTAGGGAATCTCGTCAACACCACCTTTTTCCATTGTTAGGATCAGACTGTCCTTGGCCTTAACTTCTCCAGAGATGGTGCATCCCTTCCACAATTTTCCTTTTGTCAAATTGTTGTGTCAGAACACGGTAGCTGGTGATGCTTATGCAGCGAATAAAACAGCCTCTCGTCTAAGCACATCATAAGTGATGTTTGGCTGCTGCCTTCGGTTGAAGAAGTGCCCTTGCACATGCTCGGGCAATGCGCAGTGAAAAAGTTGGACTAACTGTGCATCAGTTACTCCATGTCTGGGCACAGCGATCAGCTCATCCATGGCGGACTTAAGGTTATGTACGCTCTTCCACTGACGCGTGTGGATCAAATGCAACTTGTCGGAGGCTTTAAGTCCCCGCGTGACATCTAAAAATCGCTCCCTAAGAGACTTAAAGAACTCGGAGAGGGGGGTTATCCTGGAGTACTGCACCATATCATTCTCGCAGCGTGCTGCGCGTGCAAGCGACCTTGCAAAGCTGGTCGCTTCCTCCCTCAGGGACTGAAAGGCCACTAGGACATGACCTTTTGGTGCTACGCCCTGTAGGTAGAGATAGGAGTTGACATTTGCTTCCCAATTGTCAAAGTCCTTCCCCTTCTTCCCGTCGAAGGGCTTAGGGAAACAAACTTTGACTTTCTCGAGGCGTGGTGCAGGCTCCTCTTCCCTGGAAGAAGCTATCTTGGCGCCCTCTATGGCGCCTATACAGAACCTCTCCATCTTACTGATCGCAAGGTGGATCTGGTCCACCAAATATTTCATCATGTCTTGCGCAAAGTCTTTGAAGCCAACTCGGATGGCCTCTAAGGCAATATGATGGCTACGAAGGTGCTTCATTTGTTCGCTTTGTGCGGTCAGTATGGACTGTACACTATGAGTCAGGGTGTCAAGTTTATTTCCTATCTCGGTCTCTTCCCTGATCTTCCCCATCAAGAATTCTTTAATGTCTCAGACAGGACAAAGTGATCAGCCGAGTCCTCTCAAGACTTAGACAGTTGGACACACAGCCCACAGCTCGGAGTTCGGGCCTACCACGCCACACTGAGCAGCCCACCGATCAGTATTGGTCCTTGGGGGTCTTGTCCTCGTGACGTGTCTGTCGTCAGACGCGGCCTTTACCCTTACTAAGTCCCGTGTGGGTTTGGGCTCGCTGCTCTACGACCACATCCATAGAGTCCTACCGACTTGGATAAAAGTGGCAGGGAGGTATGACTGACTCTGATAGACCTGACGTCAGCAAGTACCAAGGTGAGGGTGCACATCCATAGGGTAAGGGCTAGGGCCAAGGCTTGGAGAGGTAATACCACTCGTCTTCTCGCTCCAGCTTGGTCAATACTCCGGTCAACGGTCTTGGTCAACACGCCGGTCAACGACCTTGGTCAACGCTCCGGTCAGCCTGGTCAACGCCCATCAACGGCCTCGGTCAACCTCCGGTCAACGCTGGTCAACCCGTCGACCTCCTGGCTATGGTGGTCGACCTTCTCTTTCGCCGCCCCCTTCTTCTTCCTTCACCTTAGCTATGGCTGCTTCACCTCCGTCTTCGTCAACTCCCTTCTTCTTCTCTCACCAGTCGTCTTCTTCTCCGAGCTTGGCAGCTATGGCTGCCATCCACTGTATCCTCCTCTCTCTTTCTCTGTCTCTCTCCCTCTCTCTCTCTCTCAGCTATGGCGGCTTTCTCCTTCCTCGCTTGCTGTAGCTCCAACGTGGACAACGGGTACCAGCTCCGATAGTAGTGAAATCAGACTGCGCTCCAAACTTGCTTGTAACATTCACACACGCGGACTGATGGCAAAACCAAAATCTTTCAATCTCATAATCACCAATGAACTTGTACTTGAACTCAGCCCAAGTCAACTGTACAACTTGCGGCTATGGCCGCCGAACACTGTCCACCACCAACCTCACACTCCCTCTTGCACGCATCTACGAGGATCTACCCTGAATGTCCACTCTATACACACACACACTGTACACTCTATTGACTCCAGCAGCTTGGCGGCTATGGCCGCTGTCGTCTTCCTCCTTCCAGCTATGGGCGCCGTTGTCTTCCTCACTGCCCACTTCAGCTCCGGGCACCTGCAGACCTCCACGCACCAGTCACCAGAGCAGCGCTTCCGTATGGCTCACAGGCAAATGAATGAATGACTGACCGCTGCCTCTTTATTTATAGTAGCCCGCAGGTGGCCTGGCCCTGCCCTAAACCGCGTGGGCCTGGGCCTCTCACCATGTGGGCCCCGGGTCTGGAAACTTCCAAACCGCGCAGGCCTGGTAGGCCCAAAACGCGTGGGCCTTCTGGGCCAAAACGGGTGGGCTGTTGGGCCCTAAAACGCGTGTTCTTGACCTTTCTCTAAATCGCGTGGGCCCTTCCCTTCCAACCACGTGCAGCCCCTACCTTGGTACTTGCTGATTGGACTGGTCTACAGGGACCTACCATTTTCTAGAACCTACAGACCTACGGACTGACTCTTAGGCCCCAGTAGACTCAGGTAGAGACTACTAGAACGGACTTTCTTGGGACTACTGGTAACAGACTTAACTACTAACCTACAGACCTAGGGATCGAGTACACCTACCCGACCTACAGCCTAACCTATGATGCAGAATAGGTCACGGGTTCAAATCTAACACAGGCACGGGGTCAATGTACAGGATTCAGGCATAGGTCTAGGATCGAATCTCAGTGTCTACAAATGTCGGGTCAACTAGGTGAAACCGTTTCACCATGGGTATGGTGGACCTCAAGTGATATCTGCAGTAGAAGAGGGATTCAGACATGGATTCTGGTTCAGCCATTCAACATTGTATTATTATTTCTTGTGTGAATAAGAGAGGAGGAGATAAGGAGGACGAGAGTGTTTGGCGAAGAAGAAGAGCATTACCATTTGTCTATGCTGATGTACATCATCTTCTTCTTCTTTTTCTTCTTACCCTCTCTCTCCTCTCAAGTTCATTCATTTCTTTTTGCAATTGGACAGCGTTGTACTATCTGATGAATGTGTAATTCGAAATTGGCCAAGATGATAACATTCGTATCAAAGCGGATTCTACTTGCTGGTGAGAGTTGACTTATCCACCCTAACCCTAACCTAAGTGGTAAGGGATAACCACTTAGGGTTAGGGTTGCTCCGAAGCGGGAAGTGGGGCAGCGTGGGTTAGGGAAGCTGCCCCCTCCTGGTTAGGTCGTGTTGGGTCGACACCGAACCTGACCAGGTTGATTGAGAGTAAGCATGTGGTGGTGAGACACATCAAGCGCACTTCATGCGACAAGTTGAGAGAGGCGACAGTGAGAGGCACTCACACCTGGAATCTGACCTAAGGGACACACTTGGTGACTTGAGGGCCTCCCTCACGTAGGGATTTTGAGGGAGGTAGCTATTCTGCATTTACGGACTGCAAGTTACTACTTTGTTCTTCAGCATCGGACGAGGATCCGGCGTTGCGCTTGGTGTTGGAAGTGAGACCCTCCTACATGATAGGACACTAGTGTAGATGTAGTGAATAGGGTTAGGAAGACCATATGAGGAAGCGGGGTGAGTTATACTTCATCGCAGAATCCGGGCCTTTCAGGTAAGTGTCGTGCATTTAAGGATTGCCCATGTATGTGTGCATGGTATTGTTTGTCCTGCTAGGGTACTTTTGGGTCTCTTTCCTACTCCTCTGACGTCTTGGTTGTGTGCATTGGTGTGCAAACTACTTACTAACCTGATGGATGTAGAAATGAAGTACCTTGCTTTGAAAAGCCATATCCTTCTACAATGCTTTGTCTTTTCATCTCTGAATGGATGTAATCTCTAGGTTCTCTCTTGAAGTTGAGATTCGTTTTTCGGTACAGTAGAGGCAGAAAGTAGGACCTCGAGGTACTCTCCTTGTTTGGGACTTGGTCACGACCTACTTGGGACCCATCGGGACTCAGTGGGACCAGGCCCAAACAAGAAGGCCCCTTTGGACCCAAATCTGTTGACGCAGTGCCGCTCTCTTTTCTGTCTGGGATACCGTACTCTTCTTTTTTATTAAAGCCCTCGCTGCCAAGGGGATCTCGACAGAGATGCTTTGTCAGACTGATGACACACAATCCACTGCTTGACCTACACCTTATACACCACTCAATTCTCCATTGTTGTATGATGTTACTTGTAGTCAGGTTTGTTGTACTTTTGATGGTGCCGGTTGGATTAGGCTCAAGGGGATCTTGTACTTGGTCTAACCGGACTTCAACTCAAAATCAGAACTCTCTTTTGAATGTATTGTATTTCTTTGATTGTTCTTGGTTGCTCTCTAGTCCAAACATTTTGCCGCTCCAGCGAGGAGTCATACCCTCTCTTCTGTACTTTCAGTCTGTTTCTTTTGCTGAAGTCCACTACATGCCCGTAGAGACGCGCGAACAAGAGAGAAGAGCAAGATAGCCATGGCAACTGAAGGAGCTAGTGGTTCCGACATGGCACCGGCTAAGCTTTCTGATATGTTAAGGGCTCGTATGGATGAAGCAGATGAGGCTGATAAACTGTTGTATGAGGCCCTCTATCAGAAAGAATCGGCTGAGGAGGAAAAGGCGGAAGAGGCAAAGTGGAAAACAACCATTGACGAACCCGAGGCTATTTTCAAAACAGATCCAACCATATATGATGCAAACCTTAAGAAAGATCTGGTTAATATGTATGTACGTGCGCTTGTAAATTACCATTTGCTCGGTGAACTCCCGAGTGTGAAATCTCAACTACTCGAGGAAATGAGTCAGATGCGTACTCAAATGGTTGAAATGGCCAGAGAGCATCGTGATCAGTTACAACAAATAACAAGCACGCATCATGCCCAAACCTCAAGTTCTCTTCCTCGTTCTACCTTTGCACCTCTCCATTCTTCTCGTTCTTCTCAGTCTTCTTCGTTGAGTTTGGCGGTTAATCAGTCAGGACCTGCGACAAGTGCAGTTCCCGCTGCCGGCAGCGCAGGAAGTTCTGCAACTGCCTCAGCCTTGGGTTCGGATCCAGCAATAGCTGGTCCCAACTATAGAAGTCCATACATGGACAAGAAGGCGGTGATGATACAGTCTAGGTATGATGGCAAGGACGACGTAGAGTCCTGGATCAGCTCCATGAGAGCCTACTTTGAGGTACAGGGCACTCAAAGAGTGAACCAGTCCTTGATCCTAGGAACGAACGTCAAGCCTGTCGTAAGCAGCTTCCTTGAAGTCCAAGCTATCCAAGCTGGCTATTCAAAGATTAACCTATCGACGTGGCTTAAAGTCACTCCGGTTACCACTCTCGAGGATACATTAGTAGCGCAATATAAAGACCCACATGTTGCAACAAGAGTGAGGATACAACTTGATGAACTTAAACACAGCGATTGGCAGGGCACCATGCACAAATTGCAGCTGCATGTCAGCAAGCTCTTTGCGCTGACTGCACAATCGTGTTTGGATGTAGTTAAAGGTACGGTTCCCACTCACTTAACCAATCGCCTAGGCAAAGATTTATTTGGGTACGCTGGTTTTCCTTAATGAAGGATGTAGCCAGTCTGGAGGCAGGAGACCTCCTTACTGCAGCAAGCAGCAAAATAACTTTTGTTCGCGGGCGGTTTCATGGCAGCAATCGCCTAGCTGTGCTTGACTTGCTGGAAGGAAAAGGGGAGGCCGAAGCAGATGACTCCACTCTTGGCGACGACCAAGAACAGGACGATGATACAACTTGCTCTTCAACTCAAAAATTTGATATGAACAATGAAGATGATAAATTCAGTGCCTTTAAAAAGACTGCCCATGGTAAGGGAAACGAAAACCGAAATTCAGTAAGGATGCAAGTACTAAACCTTGGTTGGACCTCCGGATCAGTGAGGATGAATGGAAGGCTAGGATGAAGAAAGGAGGTTACCTACATTGCCTGAAAACAAACCATAACGTTGTCGGGACCGGTAGGTCCCAAATAACATCCTGCCACTCGAGAGCCTGCATATAGCCGAATTGTGCATGACAAAGAAATCTGGAGTAAGGAGGCAAGAGAGAGAAAAGACAAAGGACTAGGCCGCCGGAAGGAATGATGCCCTGGGTTGAGAACCACAGGGGGGAAAGAACCAGCGACGACAAGCAAGTAAGCGCGAGGACATGGGCACATAGGAACGTAGCATGAGGCCAGGAGGGCCATTGGGATTCAGCATGACAAAGGCCAAGGGGCCATTAACCTTGCAAATACGGCACGGCAAACGACAAGAGAATAGGGAAGCCGAGAGGTGGACGATCCCGGCGGCCGTGGGAAGCTACAAAATAAGGGCCCAACGTGGGGGCCGCCTACGACAATTAACGGGAACCTCGGATTGGAGGCCTCGCGACCGGGGAAACCTTATGTCTTCCATGAACGGAGGAACCGTATACCTCCACATCTCAGGACATACCCTGTCTTCCATGCGTCTAAATTGCTACCATCTGTAGAAAGTGATAACTTTCCAAATAGGCCATCTATGTTTCCACCTATGAACGGAGGATACAAAGTTGAGAAAATATTGGAACATGGCTCTTTCTCTACAGGTGGCAGGGGACGACCTTAGAAGCAGTACAAGGTAAAGTTTTCAAGTCCCAACCCCCATCTGAAGCCGGATGGTTTAGTAGGAAAGAACTCCTACCTACTGCTCCTGATATTATTGCTGCATATGAACGTGGGTTAACTGAGGATTGATGTATTTTCTGCGATGGAACTCGAAAACTAGGCCAGCAGGAATGCAATAACCCATGCCATATGCCTCGTGGAAAGACTAAGGGCCAACTCAGCCGCCCTCAACCCAGGCCAAAACAGGGGTGAAGACCCCACACGAACATTCAGGGCCTGGACGTGAGACAGTTGACTTTTGTCAAGTGCCTTGACCTCAACAGTCAAAGTCCAAAGGTACCCAGTCCAGGCCGGTCAAGCACACACACTTGTTTGTATGCAGGTACTCAGACAGCATAAGGTCCAAGGGGAAAGTCTGCAACTGTACGATCCAGGCCTTCGGGTGTGACTCAATCTGAACGATTGAGGGAAGGAGACCGAGGTCAGAGAGCCTCGACAAAACACTACTTAAAGACTGGCCTCGAGGTGGTCAGCATTCAA